GTTTCCCATTTGATTCTCCGGTTGCTGCTGCCGCCGGATCTTCGCATGGTACTCCATTTCTTACAGCGCAACGTGCCAACAACAAGGTGATGATCGGTTGATGGCTCTGCGCCTCTTTTAACAGATTGTATATACAAATTCAATATTTGATTGAACTCGCAACAGCTTCATCTTTAATGAATAGTCGCACTGCCCAAGAAAAAGATGTATATTCTCCGTGATAAAAAGCTTTGCTATGAACGAAAGCAGTATTTTAGTAAAATATTATTATAATGCAGCGATTTAAGAACTCAGCTCGTGATCTTTGCAACCTTATGCGTTCTTGTCTTTGTGGATTTCGAACAATTATAAAAACACACAACTATGGATTTTAACATCGCAGATCTTGGACTAGCAAAGTTACCGAAATTAAGCGCCAATTCTTTAATTATATAGCTGAAAGTGGCCATATTTTTTAGGTTGTTTTTAGCGTTTTAAATTTCTTTTTTTATAGTTGCCAAACCCGAATATTTGTGCTATACCCTCTGCGCTCAACTTTCACATGATTAAATTTAAAAAAACATCCACCTACATGATGTGGCTCTCTGCGCAGTGCTGCCCGTCGGTTGCCATCAACGGATTGTGCTACAGCAGCTGTTAAAAGCGCGCTAGGCGGCCTTCCGCAGAGTTGTTAGACTAAGTAAATGGAAGCACATCGTTTTGCACAATGGAATAGATTACCCTAGATTTAGCATGTTCTTATTGTAATATGTCCAATTTTTTGATACATACATATTTATGTTTCATTCATAATTTGTTTTTTTATTCGGTTGGCCACCGTTGTTTTTGCGTGTCACCGTCCTTCTGCCCCTAGTCATAGTGTACTCAAGAACAGGAACAGTCCACTGTTTGAATTCATCGAATATTATCATATCATGATACAAATTAGCTAGTGTTATTTAAATTCACTCCTTCATGCGAGAGGGACTCCATCCATCATCCACTTTATACTAAATTTCATCCTCTCTGCCCACTTTATACCACCCAGTGCACGTTCCAGATTCAGTGTCAAGAACCGAAAATTTACCAGAATTCCTCAAATTATTTCTCAGGTACCTCACACACCAATGTGGTTAAACTTCTTTTCGCGAACCAGAAATGCCTAGAGAGCATTTGACTTTGCTCTAACAAGTACCCGAAATGTTGCCAGTGGACATACTTGTTAAGTGACTCAAAATGAAGCAGTCAGTAATTAATTTTAGAGCTCAAGCTTTAAAGAGCAATTATGATACATACTTTAACACAACATCGGGCATACACAGAATTGCTACATCTGGAGTGTCACTGGCTACGATGGTGTGTTGCCTTAGAAAATAGGATCCATCTACGATTCATTGCCTATTAAAAGTGAACAAGCATTTTATCAATAGGTGCGGCCTGTTGTAATGCATTTTAAGAATAAAAGCGAATTGCAGTTATGCAAGACAAGAATATAGCTCGGGCTGTTTGTGACATTTATTGTATACATGGCTGCAACTGCAAAGAAGAATAGGGAAGGAATCTCTTAGATGGAAAGCGAGACATACAATTTTTTTCGTAAGAGCAGATAGAGAGTATTTGACGTCATCACGTAAAACATAGCACTGAAATAACTAAATCAATTTTTCTAATCAATTTTTCGTGCCGCTAACCATGGAATTAAAATCCGTTTGGCTTCAAGTGTCCTCAGAGACCTCATATTTACTACAAAATGAAGTAGGTACTGATTATGGAACCTGGTGCCGCTGTGTCAATTGCTCAACTCATGTGACGAAGGGAAATTCGTCGAGTAGTGCCACAATTTTGTTTTAGAACCGACATCTACACCACTTTGATAAGTTTTTTAAATTTTAATTGGCTGCAATTTTAATACATAGGGTAGAGAACAAACGGTTGTTTGACGATTTAGATAAAAGGTCGCAGTGGTCTAGGCTAGAGAGATTTGGCAGTAAATTAGTACTGAACTTACGGCGCTTTTTGTACGGGCTTTTTTCGGCACTGTAGGATTCGGTTACTCTACAAACTGTACTGTAATTGGTGGTTCGTTTGCAACTCATATAGCTCAAAACGTTGAACGCCGTGCTCCGCAACAGTGTTGGTTCACGGTTCCATTGATGTGTCGCGGACTTTCACAATTTTAGTAATGCAATAAGAGCTGCATTTTTGTATACTACTATATTCTGCTAGTAGTTGTAGAGGTCAGTTGCATCATCTGTTGAGTTTTGTTATGTACGAATTCATATTCGTCAACGTGTGAACTTAGTTGAACCTGCAAAGTATCGAACTTTTGTATCTTTCGCATTTAGTTTTCCGAAGTTGACCGCGGTATCGCAATAGAGGTACAAAATCTTTATGTAGTGTGCTGCCCTAAGTACTGAATGGTTATTCAATTAAAGCAAGGAGTTTGTCTACGAAAACGTTAATAACACTGAGCAGAATTCGAGCAATCTTTTAATCTATCGAAAAAATCTTGTTTTTCTTTTGGTGTCGCCCATTTTGATCAAAGTTATAAAAGTTGAAATTATGAGTGATTCAAATGGGTCTCGGCAGATTAAGTTTTTCTGCATAGTCAAGGCAGAATAAATTAGTAAGCAACATCGAATAAACAGGTATTATATATAGGGCAATAAAAATTGGGAATGTGTCAGAGAGTAGAGTACAAGCATTTGAGTCAGAAGTAAAACAGTTCAACACTGACATTTAGCATAGTTATATAATGCTGGCACATGGCTTGTGGGCTTGTGATAGTCGGAATTCGTGACTGACACGTGCAAGGCTGCAGAGCACTGGAGGGGATGAGGCATCCAGGATCTTCATTGCAATTTGTACATATTTT